ACCAGCTGCCTGATGGCTCTTTCAACTTCGTCCCACAAATGCTCAATTGGATTGAGATCTGGTGATTGTGGGGGCCACCTAAGCAAGGTAAAGTCTCCCTCATGTTCTTGAAACCACTCTTGCACAATAAGAGCACCGTGGCATGGTGCATTGTCTTGTTGGAAGAAGCCATCTCCATTGGGATACGCCATCAACATGATAGGATGAACTTGATCAGCAACGATACTTTGGTATGTTGTGCTATTAAGACATTGTTCCTCACGAATTAAAGGTCCCAAATCATGCCAGGAAAACATGCCCCAAACCATAACACAGCCCCCACCAGCTTGAAGGGTTGTACTCATGCATGTGGGGTGCATGCTTTCATGCTGTTCCCGCCAAATTCTCACTCTGCCATCTGCATGATGCAACTGGAAAAGGGATTCATCGGACCACATTACTTTTTTCCCAAATTACATAAATATTAAATTGCATAGTGATTATCCCAACACAATATGTGACATCCCCAATAGCTAAAATAAATAAAATCTCAAAACTGGATCTGCAAATTACAAATTAGTCTCTCTAAAGCACAATAAAAGTCTCTTTTAAAAAGTTTTTCCAACAATACATAAAGTGCAATTGTGCTCCACTCCAAAAAGGTATTTCTTAGGCTCTTTTCACACTGAGCGACATGGGTATTGCGCGTTTTTCGAGCAATTTCGCGCTGAACAGCTTTGAGCTACATTGAGTGATATTGAGCGACAATGCACATTTTATTGCGCTACATAGCACGTTTTTTGGGCGGGACTTCGTCACTTCTACATTGGGCTGTAACCAATCAACAGTGATCTTGATGTGACATCATTCTTTCCTTCCATTTTGCAGTGTTAAAGTGACCCTTCAGTCGCACAATATCGCAGGCAATGCGCGATTTTGCTCGACACCATAGTCTATTGGAGCCGAATCGTGCGACATCCGCGCAAAAAAGTGGGTCATGCACGAGCGACAAGCTACAGGCGACATTGAGCTGTGAGGTGTGACCAGCTCCATTGAAATGCATTGGACAAGCTACATAGAGCAATATCGCGTGGAAATATGCGCAATTTCGCTGCAGACATCATGTGATAAACAGCTCAGTGTGACTGGGGTGTTAGTGTTACATCCTAAGTGTTTCTGTGCAATCAATACACTCACCAGACTCCTTTGACCACTATTAAATGGTCAAACTGCGCTCAGATTACATTACAGATTTTGAGATTGTATTGATTTTAACTATTGGAGATGTCACATATTGTGTTGGAACAATCACTATGTACTTTAATGTTTATATATAAATTTTAGATTTTTTTAGCACAGTAACTTAATTTTCTCAAGATTTGAGAGAGTGATTATAGGATTCACTTGTTTTCACTGCTGCTGATGCTCAGTAAGCTGGCATCAAGCATACTAGAGCAGTAATGTCAAACGCAACAGGAGCAGAATTTAGTGGGAGTTAACAACTAAAATTGAAACAAAACAAATCCTGAATTATTGAGCTACTGATTTACTTTACTGAAGTAAAGCGAATTCCCACTTGAAAAGAATTAGGAATGCATTCAACTGAAATTCTAAAACTACTGTAGGCCACAATAAAAGGAACAAGAGGACCAGGTGTGGCTGTTTATCGTCAAGTTCAGACAAACACATGATGACTATTACCCAATAATGATTACCTGCTCTGAACACAATACATCATCAGCAGACAACTTAAGGTATATCTATTAAGCTATTAACATTGCTTCCCTTTCCACCCAAAAAAAGGTCAGCATAAAGAGTGTCAGCACAGCCCAAGAACAAAATAGCAAATCATGTATGGCTACTTTTGGGGTCAGAACTTATGACTGCCTTCTCATACCTACATATTGCCTAAACATATATACCATGTCAGATGTTTAGATAAAAATGAGAAACATTTAAGCTTTGCCCTAACCCATTAAAGTGCAACCCAAAAGTGCAAAGTTGCATCACATATGTATACTGACCTTATGGGAAGCGGAGTCGAATATAAATTCTGCTCGAATTCCATTATTTTCTGGACTTCGGTAGTCGAATAGCGAGTTAGTAAGATAAGTGTTCCCTTTGCTACTTAAACTCTCTCCACAGGTAAAGAAACAGGCCTCCTAGATATCGAAGAACATATAACAATGATACTTTTAAGTTAATACTGATATCCCATCACATAATGACTTCAGATTTTAGATTAGGCATAACACTAAACACACCAAACAAGTCAAAGCCTACTTCAGTAACATTTAAATGTTAAAAATGGTCATTTTGCAAAATGAGTCACACTGGCCATAGAGAGAAATATTTAGATGATGAGTAGAACTGTCTGTTTATCATCACCGGCCAGATGACAATTTTTTGTTCACGTGATCTCTAATGACTACAGTTGTAGTAAAAAAACAGGTGTCCCATACTGGTACAACATTTCCAGTAGGTTTAATAAGAAAGCCACTCAAGAATTTGAGTTAGACTGTATATATGTAAAGCCAACAGCCATTTACCTGTGCTTTCAGGATTAAACAAATCGGGGGAACAAAATAACAACCATGCTCCACTAAGCCAGGAGTGAGCAAACTCCGGTCCTCCAGTCGTGGTGGAACTACATATTCCATCACGCATCTGTGTCTGGGAGCCAAACCTGTGGCTGTGGGAATCTTGCAATGCTTAATGGGATTTGTAGTTTGCCTACCCCTGCACTAAGCCATGCCCTGGAAATAAAAAAATCTTCCTAGGTTCCAAAACATCACTGCAATTAACCCAATACATATCCAGTAGCCTATCTTCTCATGTTATTCACTAATCAGAGGAACTTTCTGATTGAACTCTCAGCTGTTCAAGGCTGTTTGGTAGCTTTAATGCAGGTCAAAATCCCTATATGAATGAACTAAGCCTTCATTTGCCCAACCAGAGCTATGATTCTGTGAATTTTACAACATCATTTGAATACTGACAGTTGAATGTTTTACACATTTAGAACTTTTTATGGCTTGCATAGACAACATTTAAGTAGCATATCACATTGTTAAACATGAACTGACACACATTTGTACTTACAGAATCAGATCTGTTTGTATTCTCCTCAAAATCTTTTATTCCCATAATTCCTTTCAAACATATGGCTTGACTGCCCACAAAACCAATCTGGCAATCGAAGAAAGGCTCTCCCTGCATTAGTACCTGCGGGAAATATAACATTCAATAGGAATCTTTGCAAAATAATTGTAATTTCTTTAGTTAGTGCAAGTCGTTCAAACTTACAGAAAGAAGCATGCATATGTACAGGGCAGCACAGTGGCGTAGTGGTTAGCACTTTGGCCAGTGGCGTAGTGGTCATCAGTTCGAATACCTGTATCACTACCTGCAATGAGTTTGCACGTTTTCCCTGTGCTTGCATGGGTTTCCTTCCACACTACAAAGACATGCTGGTAAGTTAATTGGCTCGTGTCTAAACTGGCCCTCGTATGTATTCATGTGAGATAGGGACCTTAGACTGTAAGCTCATCGAGGGCAGGGACTGATGTGAATGTAAAGTGCTGCATCCACCAGAAAAGACTTATTTATTATAGGTATTTACTGTAAACACCTATAATAAACAAATAAATATGACTTTAGCATTGTCCTTGCATTTTGGGGTTGTATATTACAACCTTAACCTTACTGTAAACATACAACACTTTTCTTTTATGGATACCATCCGTTCCTACATACTAACCCTTGTTATATACCACCCAAAGTAAAAAAAAAAAAAAAAAGAAATATACATCCAACACTATAGGAAAACGCTCAGTAAAATAACGAATCCTGATGCTAATAAACACATCACAAAAGCTTGGACATTCAGTCACTGCTCACCTCACACAGTGGTGACGCACCAACAAATTCACTTAGCTCAGCGAGTGTGGAATGATGAGTGTACATGAAGTTATGCAACTCTCATGTTACTGTTCTCTCTGAGTGAAAAGACTGCTTACAATGCCCATATGTTTCAAGCGTCACTCATTCAAGCCAGTCATTCATAACACATAGAAAACTATACTAACACTTTACTCATCATCGCACTCAGTACATCTCTGTTTACTAAATGACTGTTAAAAATGACCTCTTTTACTAGAGGTAGCATAACCAGACAATTATAAAAGAGACATAGAATATAGAGAATAACACTGATAATTGTTTTGTATATTCTATACTGTATACATTGTTTTATCATATCTGCTGCATTACAGAGGTGGGGTGCTGAATCTGACTGTCATACAAAAACTGTTTTAATCAAATAAATGTGTACTGTATGTTAATTTACTCATTTCATCTGAAGTGTTTAATTTGAGTATTCATACTTCACAGCATAAAAACATGCTGTAAAGTTGATAGGTTTCTGTCTAAAACTTCTAGAGTGTGCATTGCTGGAATACTGCTACATGGCAAGCAAAATGGAAACTGAATTTGAGGAGTTGCTGTAAATGAAGATTACTGCACAGCTAACAGTCTGTTTTTGAAATGCAACACACCAAAAGTTCCAGAATCGCTTTCCCTATATGTATTCAAATACTACTAAGCCTGTTGTTAGTAGTGACTGCATCCTTCGTGGTGAGATATTTGAAATATTGCTGTGTGTGTGTTGGTGGGGGGAGTGTGGGGGGTGAGTGATACCCTTTTGGCCCCTTTTGGTAGGTTATAGGCTAATCAAGCCCAGTGCTTGATTAGCCTATAAGGAGGCCTGCACATGGTCACTTGAGCAGTATTGTCCATGCTCTTGCTAGCAGTGACTTTTACAAAGTTGATATTTTCCCAACCAGTGTAGCAAGGTTCCAGATGGTACAGGAACCCTGAAAAAGTACCTTATGCAGTCTGCCATTTGTCTGTGTTTGGCTGCGCTAGTTGGTTTAATGAGCGCACAGGTTTATATTAATGGTATACATGTCTTACAAAAAATATGACATTTTGGATATTCACTAACATTTCCAGATCTCTAGTTCGCAAGAATAAATACCTGGTCTACAATTGGCTGGTTGAGAATACTAATGTCAACATCACACTCTCAATCATAGTAGGATTAAAGAATTTATTTTAGTAGGATTGAAGAATTTATTTTAGTACTCTACTGTAGGACACAATTAGGTGGAGAGTGGGCTGTGCGTATTACCTTCTTCCACTGCACTGTCGAGAGTGTGGGGATATCATGAGGCAAGCTGTGGAGTTTAGCCCACAACTGCTGTCACAAACAATAGGTTAGATCATATTAACCACCTTAACCCTGCATACATCCCTGACTCATTACATTTTCACTCAGAGAGACAATGATGTTGCAGTGCAGGGTGTAAGGGTCAAGTCAAAAAGTGAGAAAAGACATACAGACCCTAATGTTGGCACAGGGGATAAAGATTCAAAATTTGGCCAGCCAGTTGTTTGTAAAGTGTTGTGGAGAAGGTGCAGCATGACCCTGTCAATGCTAGACACCAGCCTGTGGTGAAGCAGCCACAAAGAATGCAAGGAGTGTTTTGCTGTTGTGTGTAGTGCAGAAATGTGGCCGGACAATAAGGCAGAGGAAAAATGTGTCTGGACAAGGATTTGGAAGTGAAGATGAACCTGTGGTTGAGCGTTCCATCCTGCTGTTATGAAAAAAAAGAAAGAAAAAAGAAGAAGGGAGTCCAAAGGGGTAAGTTCCTGAACAATTGGGAGTCCTGTAATGTCCTTCATTAAATGAGGGCTTGGACCTAAACAGTGATAGCTTTACTCTCTACCGCCTATCATATGACCAAGTACACTATTGAAAACAAGTACATTTTATATATTAGTTGCAGTGTTCCAATCTTGGACTTTGTTTCGCTTCAGTCCACCTAACCATACTGACTGTTCATACGGTCTTGCTGCTCCTAAGACTCTACTCTTTAGAGTTACCAACAGGTGGATAAAAGAACCATTTTTACTGAACACCCCTCTAATAAAGTTTTGATATTGGAAGTAATAATATTTGAACATATACGCAAAACCTTGCATATTTTATGTTTGTACAGATGACATATGGTTTAAAATAGGCAGGCTTTACCTCAATTGTTGTCCCTTCTTGTTCCCATCGTATGACTTCTCTGGATTTCACCTTCTGAGGGCTGTAATAGCTGCTCTCGGCTTGCATTTCAGTGAGCTGGAAAACAATACAACACACACACACACACCTTCAATTCAGCCAACACCGACATTAAAGAGTGGCAATCTGTCATTACTAGACTGCATAGATGAAGACAAATTAAAGTTCACTATTGGCCAGAGTGTATTATTGGACAGGAAACAGGTGCAAACGAAACAGCTGCAAGACATTAAGCACACCACTGCATAGGAGGCTGAACTTAAATATGCCAAGTGTAATGTAAAGCAGGGCAGGAGCCAGTCCAGTCAACACACTTCCTTACATTTTACTTTCACCTCTTCTCTCAACGCTGCAATTCTACAGGGGATGAAAAATGGCCGGGTATCTAAAACAACACTTGTGTGGTACAAGGCTCCTTGCATTCCACCAGTCTTGTGATTCGCGAATGGTGGGATTGACTAGCTGACAAAAGGTTAAGCATTAGTCAGTCATTGAGATCTTCTTAAGGATCTTAAGATCTAGATCTGTCATGACATTAGCAGCATATAGCCAGGAACATTTATGGAAAAGAAACACGTGGGCCTGTACACTGCAAAAACCCATGTGTTATCGGTTAGCAGAGCACTAACATAAAAGCTTCACAAGTACACCAAAAAAACAAGGGCTAAATGATGAAAAACACAAGAATGCAGTTTTGGTACCACATATTTTTAATGGTCACATCATTTATGACCATTTCTGCCAGGAACCCAGTGTAGTTGGAGACAATACACTTTCAAACATCATTACTGCTGAGTTTAAACAATTAACAGTTGACCACTGATGTGGAAACATGGATGACAGCAGCACCTGAACTTTTACCACTGGGCACAAAGCTTTCTGCAACAGGCATAACGGAACAAAGCAGGTGATGTAAAATACACATAAACCGATTATTTTCCAGATCAACAGAGCTTTGAGCTAACTTTTTGAGTATGGTAGATTTCCATGGAAAAAAAATTTGGGCTGGGCTATACCGTTATAAAGATAGAGTTATGATTATTGTGATAACATTAGGCTAAGTATTTTTAGTTAAGAGAACTATGGGGTAACCTTTTTATCCCATAGTTCTCTTAAGGATCATGGGAGGACATATTCCAACGTCCTCCTGTGACCCAAAGCTCAGTACCTAGTAAGCTATTGCTCACTATATACCGAGATTGCCGCAGTCGGGACAGATCCCGACAATGCTGTCAAGAGCCACCCAGCTGCATGAGTGACAGCGGGTTCTGCCTATCTAGAGGCAGAGCCAGCTGTGCCCGCCCTCTCCCCCGTGCGTTTCTCCACTCAGCACTGGAGGATCGGGGAGGGGGGAATTCCTGCGGGGAGCAGTGACTGACAGTCATCGCATTCTGCAGGAAGATGATCGGAAAATGAGCGAGCAACTGTATGCGTTCACTCGCTTCGCGATCTATAGAGCCAACCTGTGACAGTTTCATTGTCACACGTCGGCTCGAACTATGAGGTTGAGTGAAAATCACTCACCTCATAGTTCTCCTTTAAGTTTAAGGGTATCGTGACGATTATGAGGTCTGACAAACCTCAAACTGACTGTAGAGAATTGGGAAGGCATTATGCATGTAGTACCACCCTCATTTCCCCCAAAATGTGCAAGACTATAATGGGGACGGTCCGATCTCATGCCTGTGTTAGGAAGCAGAGAAGGTACATACTAAGAAATGAAAACAACTAGCTCAAGACACATTGATCAGAGCAGATCAGCATGAATGGAATGCATAAACATCTTAGCTAGGATCCCCACAAGCCCGTTAATGAGTCAGTCGTTAACTTTCATTAAGCCAGAGTCTGCTAATGGCCCCGTCAATAACCTGTTGTAAAGCAGTCTAGAAGCAATACATAATTCTTTCTCTAATGGAGATACATTCACATAAAGTGATTACACTAATGTATAAGAAAATAATCAGACATAAAATGCCTATATTATGGAGGTGCAGAAGGCAGATGGGACGCATTATGGCTCCCAAGAGAATATGCATAAGATTCACATCATGTTTGATACATCAAATCATGATTTTTCTATTTAATAAGTTGGTTGTTGGATCATAAAACCTTGTCACTTGGAAAAATAGATATATTAGCATATTATGCATTAAGGGACTGTCCTCTGAAGTATAATAAAATACTTCCGCACTCCAACCTTACACCCTCAGCTCTTTTGAATGGGTGAGGGGTTGGCTCAGTGACATTCTAAAAGGGTCGACAAAATCAAATTCAAAGATCAAAGACTGCTGCTGAGACAGGTATGTTTAGATTACAGTGAACCTGCTGTAGTAAAAATGTGGATGTGCCATTTCTTACTGTCTTTTGGCTGTCCTGCAGAATCTTGCTTCCCACAGCTCACTAGCTCTAGGCATTGGAGCCAGTTTATAAGAAAAAAACAGGAGACAAGTTTCTTTTAAAAAGATCTGAATTGACAGCCTCTGTTTTTTTTTCATTGCAGGTTTCTGTTAAGGGCTGGCTTCACCATTCAGGTTAAAACAACCCTGCAAAAGATTTTATACCCAAGAGTCTGTTCGCAGTGGGCACTCTTTATAGGAGTAAACAGAAATCTCAGAGTGCATGCATTGGCCTAGCCGGGTAGACTGTGGCAAGCGACTGTGGGGCCTCCTTGGCGGAATCTTGCTGTATCAGGAACACATTGCCGCACATTTACCAATAAGCTCTGGGGGCCCAGTGGCAGCTGTGCCCCCCAATGACCTACAAGAACAAACGGTGCCCTTCCCCTTGAACAGAGAGGTAGAAATTACTGCTGCAATTTATACAACTGAAGATTTGTGTCATCCCTTGGGACTTTTTTCCTGAACTATCTGAGCACCAGATTCTAATAATGTCACACAGAGCGTGATGTGAAGCCAAGAGGCTATGAAAGGAAAGTTAGCTTTATATATAGCACAAATTCCCTTTTTCCTCATCAGCTGTCAGCAATTATTGCAGAGGAAAAGCAATTAATTGATTAAAAGAACTCAAACATTACAAGAACAATTTTCAACAGTATTAGGAAAATGTTACGTTTAATTTGGCATGTTTTTTCTCTTTGCGCTGGAACGGTATCAACCACTCCAAATGCTAATGCAGAAATACAACCCCCTTTTTTTAATACCAAAAAATGAACCACAAATTAATTCCATACATTCTTTGCTAGAAACGAGAACAATGAAAGCTAATGTTTTCCGACTCAGTGTAACATGTGAATCTCATACAGAACATTTCATTGCAGATGTAACTTCTCTTTCCTGTTGGATGTTTGTTAATTTGTTGCAGGTCATCCGAGGGTAGGAGGTGTTAAAAAGCAGCAGAACTGCTACTCTCAATGCATATTACTATGTGGGAAGAGAGCTTGTTAATCAGAGGCAGAAACACTAAGATTATCTGTGCTGCATGCTACCACAAATATGTAAAACATATTTAGGTAGAACAGAGATGAAATAAAAACCCAATCACTGAAAAAGACACATTACTTTAGAGTTGGAGTTAAAGTGATACTAAACTCAGGAGTTAAATCTTAAAAATGCATTCAAGTACCTTACTAACAAAAATGTAGTTTATTTAGTTATTACTCAGCTGGAGATCCTCAAATCATCTCTCAATTCATGCTGACACTGTCCTTCCTTAATGAGGGTGACTACTTTTGTTCCCCATGATTCCTGTGTGTCTTGCAATGTAGCCACAGCTCCAAGCTCGCTCACGGGATGGACTACAATCTCATGCTTAGTTGACTAATTTGTATTGAGATTGTAGCCCATCACGGGAGCAAGGTTGGAGCGGTGCCTACTTTACGACACACACAGGGAACATAAGTAGCCACCCTCCAGAAGGAAGGACAGCATCAGCACCAATTCAGAGATAACTTGAGGATCTACAGCCGAGTGATACACAAATAAAATACATTTTGTATCAGAGTACTTGAATACATTTTTAAGACTTAACTAATGAGTTTAGTGTCACCTTAATGTGACATTAATATAGATATGAATAGGTTGCAGGCAACGTAGTGATGCAGAAAGATAAGTTTTTAATTGAGGATTTAAAAAATATTTGCATTCAAAAGAAAGAATTCTTAGTAAAAAATGTAATGTTAAGAAACTGCGCTAGGAATCAAATAAGGGCAGCAGTGCTTAATAGGTTAGTACACCCAAAATAGGAAAAAAGAAAATAGCACTGCGCTTCAAACTCAAAAATGATTTTCCTAAAATGTGAAATTGTCACAAAGTGATAAACTATTTTTGTGTCATACACAACACCTGTGCTGATGATAGTAAGAAAAACCTTAGGTGGGCGGATCTATGCGAGCAATGCAACCATAGAGAGACAGGAGCTCCAGTGGACACAATCCATGTGCAATTGCCTTATTTTAATTGTAAGTGTATTTTTTATCGTTTTAAATAAATTTATTCTGACATACTACACTATGGGAAGCCTTTTTTCTCTCTCTGAGCACAAGAGAAGGTGGAAGATGGAGCAATAGTGTTACACGATTTTGGAAAGATAAGCCAGAGTTGGGAGGAATCTACCCCAATTTATTGTCGAATTAAAAACAAAAAGGAGAGGATTTGGATATATAGATATAGATGTAGATGTAGATATATATATATATATCAACAAAGCGCTAATTGTTCATCTGAAATATGGTGAGCAATAGGAGTCGGTGAGTGCGGCCAGATCTTATCGTGAGCACAGTGGAGACTGGAGAGCACTGATTCACTAATTGTTTATGCATTCACGGACGTGGTGTTGATTATAAAAGGAAGGTATATCATCACATATTTCAAGGACTTTATTGTATCCAGAAGTAATGGACTTCACATATGGTTATGTAGATTAAGTGGGAGTTGTACATTACTTGTGAGATTTAACACAGGATTTTCTATGTGTACACACTTTATGAGATGTACTAGCACGTTTTTTTTTCCCCCCATGTTTATTATGCTTTATAGTGTCCAGACCATTAGACTTAGGGCTTTTTCTTACTATCATCAGCACAGGCATTGTACAACACAGGTGTTGTGTATGACACAAAATTGTTTATCACTTTGTGACAATTTCACATTTCATACAATTTTTTTCACATTTTAGGAATATAATTTTTGAGTTTGAAGCGCAGTGCTATTTTCTTTTTTCCTAATCATAATAGACAGGTTATACAAGCTGCACCTTCAGGTGACTGGACACTGGTCAGATACTTTGAATCCTATATATGAATCCTATATAACTCCAATCCCTAACCAAGAGCTATTATTTGCTAGCAATATCCAAAACACAGGACATAAAAAGGAAAGTCCTGTGTTGTGTACCATACTACAAGAAAATCATTTTACAGGTAAGTAACAAAATCCTACGTTCTTGTTTATACAGTACAGGACACAGATAATCATGACGGAGGGAATGTCCAAAAACAATTACAGGGGGTGAGACCAGAGTACACCACCAGCATAGGTAACCTCTTCTGCTGCCTGCTAGACCATACTGCCAAACTCAGCATCAGCTTAAGCTCCTCAGATGCCAGATGGGAAAGGCCGAAGAAGTACTGACAGCCCTAGTGGAGTGAGCCTTTTCCGGAAAAGGCAGGGAAATATTCTTACTAGAATAAGCCTGCTGTATGAGCTATCTGATCCAATAAGTCAGTCACAGTGGATCGGGAGACTGAACAACCCTTACGAGATCCTACCAGAAGAATAAATAAAGAATCCGAGAGATGGAAGGAAGAGATGGCGCCAAGATAGACCTGCCAAACCTTTACCACGTCCAAGGAGTGTAAAGCTTCTTCGTTAGGATTTTTGATTCTGGAAAAAAAGGCAGCACAATGTCCTGATTAGGGTGAAAAGACAAAAACCCCTTGCGCAAAAAAAGACTGTCTAGCTCCTTTTCTTGGTGCATAACGGGAAACGTTTCCCTACAGGACAGAGCCGCCAGCTCAGAAACTCTCCCAGGTGAGGTAATAATGACCAGGTACACAAAGTTCAGAGTAAGATTCTGTAAGGTATTGCTTCGGAGAGGTTTGAATGGAGGCTGCTGCAGAGAAGAGCACCAAATAAAGGTCCCAAGGAGACAATGGAGGATGTCTAGGCGGAGCCAAGTGAGCAAATGAGAAGCCAAAGACTCTTGAAAAGGTATGGTTAAGGCTAAAATCTGGCCCTTAAGAGTACTCAAAGTGAAGTTCTGAACTAATCCCAATTGGAAAAAGGCAAAGATTGGACTCTAGGCTTTCACCTGTTCTTCCCATACCAGGCAAAGAAAACTTTCCAGGCTTTATAATACACTTTACACTGCCTGTAATAAAGGTAGAAAAAATATTCTCTGCCAAGCGCTTTTCTCTTAAGATTTGGGCTTCAACAGTCATCAAAGCCAGCGACTGAGAAGTAGGGTGGAAGACTGACCCCTGAGACAGAAGATCTGGACGATTGGGAAGGCTTCACGAAGGTGCCACAGATAGGATAGCTGTAAACCACACTCTCCTGGGCCAAGAGGGAGCCACCAGAATTACTGGAATCCCTTCTAGGGCTATCCTGCAAAGAAGATAAGGCAACATTTTCAACAGAAGTAAAGCATATATTTGACTGAAAGTATCCCTAAGAATTACTACAGCATCTGTTGCTAGAGCCTTGGGATCCTTGAGTCTAGAGACAAAGTAATCCAGTTTCCGGTTACTTGGAGTCCAGTAGATCTACATCTGGTGTACCCCACCTTTGACATATCTGTTGAAACACTCCTGGTTCAACGACCATTCTCCTCAATCAAGCTGTTGCCGACTGAGAATATGCCTACCAATTCTCCACTTGGGAATGAAGACTGCTGATTGAACAGGAACATGAAACACTGCCGAATTCAAAATCTTCCCTGGCTCCTTAAGGGCAGCAAAACTCCTTGTTCCACCCTGATGATTTATGTAAGCTACAGCCATAGCATAATCAGATTGTACCATTGCTGGCTTTCACTGAAGAAGACAGGACCAGTAACAAAGAGCCAACCGAATTGCCCTTAACTCAGAATATTGATTGGTAAAGTTGGCTCTAGCATGTTTAATGTTCCCTAAATTGAGAGATCTCCAGAACAGAAAGACTAGTATTTGAGCTTAAGATCGTCCACCGACACTGGCTGAAAGGACCTTCCTAATTTTAAAGCTGGACTGACCAGCCACCATTTTAAAGAAACCCTTGCCTTTGGGGTAAGACACATGGGGAGGTCCAGGGACAGGGACGGTCTGTTCCACAAAGCTAAATGTTCACTTGGAGAGTGAGTGAACCTGAGTGAAGGCAACTGCTTTAAACGTGGACACCTTCAGACCCAGGACCCTTATGCATGAATGGACAGAGGGGTGTGACTGAGACTGAAGGTCCCGGACTAGATTCTGCAGGGATCAGAGCTTGCTTTAGGGCGGAAACACTCTGGATCTGACAGTGTCTAACACTAGGCCCATATATTCCAAACAATAGGTTGGAGAGATTATTTCTGATGATTTACTATCCACCCAAAGCACTCGAATATGTTCAGAGTTCTGTGAAGGTTTGCAGTCAATTCTAGCCTGGACTGTGCCTTTAAGAGAAGATCATCCAGATAACTTACTGCGTGAATCCCCTGAGAAAGCAAGAAGGCTAGTATTGGTGCCAATACTTTTGTGAACACTCTTTGAGCCTTGGAGAGCCCAAATGGGAGAGCTACAGATTGAAAATGTTCTTTGCCTATTGTAAAGAGAAGGAACTGCTGATGCATAGAAAATTGGGAACCTGCAGGTAGGCATCCTTTATTTCTATAGAGGCTAGGAAATCTCCCTTTTCCAGAGAGATAATTACAGAAAAGTCTCTATTCAGATGCGTCTCCACCTTGGAATGTAGTATTAGTAGTAGTAGTAGTAGTAGCGTAGTACGGTGGAGACACACCTATTAGATCAGCACTGGGGAGTCCTGAATCTGGTGGTGTACTCTGGTCTCACCCCCTGTAATTGTTTTTGGACATTCCCTCCATCATGATTATCTGTGTCCTGTACTGTACGAACAAGAAAGGTTTTTTTCCAGAGTGGATCCCACAGTCCATGTAAAACAGTAGTAAAACCTCTACTCTTTCATAACCAAAATTGTGCATGATGTAAACTATGTCCATGAGGTAACCCAAGTGCTTCAATTTCCTTAACTATTAGTCCTCCATTCACACTCATCGGATGGGATAGGAGCTGTCAATCTGAATAAATAAGGATAATGGATGATGTATACATGGCTTAAGTTACAGCCACTATGATTTTCTATCTTTTAATTCTTAATTAGGTATTGGTTTCTTAGCAAGCCGATGCATACCGTTCTTTAAGTTTTAGTTCTTAACAATACATACAGATATACACAGAGCCTGCAAGGACTAGCAGTAATGAATTAATTTGTCAGCCAGCAAACAGTTTCATTTGTGAAGATCTCTTTACATTTACACACTGAACTGGAAGGATGTCAAAGTGTATACATACATTACAATGAGTATAATTTTAAGCGGTTTTACATAATATTAAAATGCAAAATAGTACCATTAAAAAAACAAACAAAAAACAAAAAAACTGTGCATTGCAACAATAAAAGGCTGTCCTTGAGATCCAGGCAAGTGACTTTGCCTGGGGTGAGATGGTGTTATCAGTCTGCTGCAGGCAGGAAGAAGCATTTTCTCAGTCTCTTCTTACACCAGTCATGAGACATGAGACACCAGTCATGAGACTGGAACATTTGGGGGAATATAGCTTGGGCCACTCTTCTAAATTGAGCGGTTTCTGGGTACAATTCCCTTTTTTGATTAGGAGCAAGCTGCCTTGCTTCCTATACTATACCTGCACTAGACCCGACATAGGGAACTGGAGCTGCTTGCTCCTTCTCCCTCTGACAACCCTTGAACAAATCTATCTGCTTTGTTATTGTGGCACAAGCCACGCACGCCATTATAAAGGCGCAGGAAGTTTTGTTAATTCCTCCCATTGTAACTCTGTAGCAAGTCAAAAGGGTGTCATCTTGTAGCCAGGATCTAAGTCTAGGAAGTAGATGCTGATAGTGGTAGGAAAAAAACAAATACACGGTCCTTCTGAAGAGAAAAGCAGAAGGCATGAAGACAGAGAGTACTGCGATGTCTGCAATATATATCATTAAGTGTTTCACTTACTTATTGCTACGCATGCGTGCATTTAAAGTCCTGTCTTCTAACATGATATTGCTAATTCAGGGCAGCAACAAGCTATGGATTAGCCTACCATATCATGCTTTGCATTATTAAATTAAGGACAAAATATTAATACAGCATGCCTACCTTAAACGTTACAGTAGCCTTTGTGCAGTAAAAGCCTATGGAGATGATTGGATCTTTGGACAGCTGAGATTTTGTTCCTTGGAAAGCAGTTCCATCTTCTGATTCCATGTAGCCATCTTCCCCATCATTACTGTAACTTACAATAGCTGGAACAAAAGACCAGGCCCATGACACCCATCCTTGCTGTTCATCATCATCTTGCAAATAATACAGGTCTTGTGCTGGATACTGCATCCCTGCTACCAACTCTTCCTCAGTTCCTGTAGAAAGAACACAGACTAATTAATACATGATGTGGTGTGCACACAATCTACATCCTCTTATAGAAGTAAAAAAATGCAATAGATGGCACATTCTAAGACCACTTTCACACAGACACTGTCCGTTTCCGATCATTATGGGAACCGTGCATGGATCCTAGCATACCTCAGTTTTATCAACAAGAAATAACAGGAGTGGATCATAAGAAAATTGAGGTGGGGTAACGGAGTCCTGAAAAAAAGAGTTGTGGCACCAAAAACCAGTGTGTCGTGTCACATATGGAGCACATGAGTAAGACTAAATGAAGAGTTGTGGTGCCCCGACAAAGTGTTCACAACACATTTCTAACCCCTTGGCGACCAGTGACGTGCATAGTATGTCATTGGCAGCGGGCCCGTTTAAACATACTCCCCGGCAGCTGTTTACAATTGTAAAGCCGGCTGTCGGCTTTACAATAGAAGCGATATTGGCGGCTCAGCTGCCATCAGAGCGCTTCTACGGGCAAGTAAACGACCGACCCGCCGTGTTTCCTGGGCTCTGCTGCCCCTCCTGCAGGCCCGAGACTGGCATGTCGGGTGCCGGCTGCAAGCTGGGGAGGAGCGTGGCGAACGTCCTTCAACGATCTCATCCCCACTCTATAGGACCGGGAGCGACACGGATTGCGTCACTTCTGGTTCCTGAGCTGTCAGTGCTGGGCTCCTGAACCCGAGCACTAAGCTATTGAAGTGCGATCTGCACTCGAATAGCTTATTTAAAGTGGAAAGGTGATACTGGGGGTCTTTTTGACCCCCAGTTTCACCTTAAAGAGGACTTGGTCAACACCAATATGCTATAACCACGGTGCTTGTAAGCCCCCCTATGTGATAGCAAATAAAGTTTAAAAAAAAAAAAAAGAAGAAGTTTTACAAAATATTTAATAAAATAAATTTAAAAATAATGTTTAAAAAAATGTTTTAAAGCCCCTGCCCCCGCGAGTACATGTGTATTCACATAAACATGTTTCGGGTACACCTACGTACGAAAACAACAATCGCGCTACACATGCTGGGTAACACTGCACACGTGAGAGCAATAATTCTAGGGCCAAAATGTATGCATATTTCTAAATTGATGACCTTTAGGGGCTCTTAAAGCATTGTCTATGGGCTTTTTAGGCGAACTAAAATGTGTCGCTGTTTTACGAACGCACACAATTTTTAACCTGGGCATGTTTGGAATCTATTTACTCGTTGTAACCTCCTCTTTTATATATTACAAACAAATGGGTATATTGTGTTTTGGGGCACTAAATTCAACTTAAGGTAATTTTGTACAAAATGTTTGAGTTTGACAAAGGGTTGCGCTAATATCGTGCAACATAAAAATTTGCAACTGCCACCATTTAATTCTACAGGGTCTTGCCTTTCAGAAAATATATAATGTTTGGGGGTTATAAGTCATTTTCAGGGCTAAAATGTGGATCATAACAGGTGTTCAAAAAAACTAAAGAAAGGGTGCTTAAGGGGTTAAAGTGTCACAGTTTCAACAATTAACCCCCTAAAGGGAAAAAAATTGGAACACATGGGGAGTGCCAACTTCTGGGGAGTAGGTACAAGCCCTAGGTCCCCACCAATGGTGGTTTGGGTGTGTAACAAGTAGCACCTGTGGAGGCATCCAGCACAACCCAGATAGTCTTCGTCTTGATGGGCATACACCCTAAGGGGTCTTCAGGAACAGGGCTCCATTGGCATAATAACCATGGCCCTAAACCTGTACAGCACCCAGTGGCTAACACAGGGCACTATGTGCCAAGGTGAGTGCCCCACAAAGGATCCAGTGCTGACACTACAGGCTAGCTCCATGTATTCTACCTAGTGGGGTCTGGTCCCCCAAGGGGGTGCAGGAGTGGCTATGTAGCAGCTAGGAATCTTGATGTTGGTCTTGAAGAATAAAATAATAAAAAGGAAATTGTTTGCTTTTCTCAGAGCAGAGAGAAGACATCTTGGTTAAATACCATTCTGTGTCCTGTAATGCACATGCATCAGGACAAATGGAGGAAGTGGATCTCCCCATTTGGGGATATAGGTAGCAATAAAAAAACATGACAGCGGCTTTATTCCTTACTCTATGCAAAACTGGAAAACAAAATGTTTTGGCTAAATGGCGCAGACGTTTGGATGCTGATATGCAATTTAAAGCTGAACTCCATGTAGTGGGGATTCCCTGTCAGCACTGCAAGGGCTAAATGCTTGTTAAGTCTGGGGTTGAGTAAATAGTTTTAACATTTAACTTACTCTTCACTCCAGCAGGCTTCCACCAAGTTGTAAGACCAGTCCCCCAACGCCTCTTCTCTACAGCGTTGTGCAACATCATCACGTACAATACAAGACCAGTAGTCTTGCACTGTATACGAGGATGGCAAGGGCCAGAGCATTGGAAAGAGGTGAGTGCCGGCTGCCTGGGGAGGGAGGAATAAAGTATTACAGCTTATTCCTCTATCCCTTGATTTAATAAGCAGTTCACCCTAGCCGGTTTACAAAAATCCCAGGGTACAGTTTTCATGCAAAACAAGATAGAAATCATGGTTGCTAATAGCATATTATAACCATGGTAAAAACCAGGCAAGGCACTACATGCTTTTCTCTGGCTTCCTTCTCACTGGATAGAAGTTACTGAGGTAATGATGCTGATTCACTGTCCAATAAAGAGATTGGAGGCAGAGAGGTGATGTAGGAAGCTGCACTTTTAAACGCCTTTACCTGCTAAACCTCCAATACCTTAATATCTAGGTTAGCTGCATGTAGGTGTATCTGTATATGCTCTGTTCATAAATGCCTCACTTTGTTCAGGAATAAAAGATGAACGTTAGGACCTCTGCTGACAATTATAAGTCTGAGACTACCATAGAACTTTCAGCTTCTTGGCTACGTGAGTTGCCAAATAATTCTGATCACTTTAATTTTATGAACACCTTTACCAAGCACAAAAAAATAACTAGACAGACACCACAAGACAAGGGCTGCATTGCTTAGTTCCCGTTCTTGATATTATTGCCATTGCTGGCATTCCTTTTTTGTCTAGTAATATTAGGTCTGACCTTGTCTCATACTATATTATTTGACCTGTGAAAGGTTATCGGATGAAAGAAGTGAAAAGGATAACATACTGCTTCTAGGAATTAGGGCAATACAGACCTAAACTGACGTGTCATTTGTGTTATTGCTCTGTAAACAAACAAATCAACGCCCCTCCATCATAAACAACTGCCTGAATTCACAATGTCTGGTTGCTGAATACTTTCCATAGTAATATACAGGTGAAACTCGAATAATTCGAATATCGTGCAAAAGTAATTGCAGTAAGTGCTGCGAAAGGGGCCCAAACCAAGTACTGAGTACATATGCATGCTTGTACTTTTCAGAGGTCCGATATTGTTCTATGTACAATCCTTGTTTTATTGATTGCATGTAATAATCTACTTTTTTGAGGTTGTGGATTTGGGGTTCTTGGGGTTTTCATGAGCTGTAAGCCATAATCATCACAATTATGACAAATCACGGCTTGAATTATCTTGCTTTGCATGTAATGAGTCTATCTCATATATTAGTTTCACCTTTTAAGTTGCATTAGTGAAATAAATGAACTTTGCACGATATTCTAATTATTCAAGTTTCACCTGTAGATAAGAAGTCACACATTACAACAACACCCAGCTCAGGTTAATCCTTTTTATTTTGGATAGAATGGGGGCAGATTTGATAATATCGAGTTTCTACTGCTGTCTCTGCCTCTACTGGGGAAATTTCCCCTCGCTTCCGGTCAGGACAAAAAGTAAAGGAAGATTTTTTCCAATGGGCACACAGACAAAAAAAATGTTTGTAAATTTTTAGTACAGTGGGAAAGGGTTACAATTTCAGACAGTGTTTCTTTTAGCCGTCTGTGCCTTCCAGTCCTGATGACACGCACATCCTCCATTTCTTGTGCAGAGGTCACAGGAACATGACGTATGGTAAAATCTACCCAATCAGGTCACAGACCGAAACAAAATTTTGTCAGCTTAGGGAACACCTGGCAGCTGAAAGATATAGCAGAACATATCTCTTCAACATGCAGCATTACAAATGCAAAATGTTTTCTTTCAGATCTAAAAAAAATGGAATATTTCAAGAAATGTTTACTCGTACAGAGAGAAAATGTGGCTGCCTCTATTGCCCTGGTTACAGTAGTTAGGATACGAACCTACAAGTACCCAGCCAGTGAAGATTGAGTAAAAGAGCTTCTGATCTGCATTGTTGTTCCAAGTTGGTTACAAAAATGATTTAAAGTGTAACTCCACTTTAAAAAATATAGAAATTAAAACAAATCTTCCAAAATGCATATAGAATTGTCGTACAAGCCATTTTGTAATGTAATGTTATTAAAAATTAGCTTCCTATTTAAAAATGTAGCTGCTGTAATGTTCTAAATCTGGCGATCTGGAGGCATTCCATACACAGCTGGTATACAGAATGCCCCCAGAAATGTCACTTCCTGCTTTCTGTGATTGGCTGACTGATTTTTGCGGAAGTCTGCTCTAAGATACAATTATCATTTCTGGCATCCCTTGCAATAGGAATTTCGTTTTTGGTGACACACTAAGGGTTAATGACCAGTAAAGGGATGCAGACACTGCACCTTTCCTTATTACAACACAGGAAGCCCACCAGCTGGATATAATGAACCCAGACCCTCCCATTCAGGAATCAGGAAAAGGACACAGTGCAACAAACAGCCTTTTCTTCAGAACAGAAACAGGTAGGACTGCAACAGTTTGTTAAAATCCTTGTACACAGATCACCCAGAGGAAAATTATTTTTTTCTCAACAAAAGTAGAATTACTCTTTAAAGCACTTAACTTGGTGAGGTGCTGCTCATTCCACAATTGTCTGGTCTCCCATCATAACCAGGTAGAAAGGAACTTAACACAAACAGTGCATTTGTTTTAAATATGCCAACAGTTCTTTCTTAACAAAGTGTCGGA